ATGCAAGGGACTTGTGCCCAAAAAGCGAGCATGTCCCTAAACCCTAAACTCTAAACCCAAAACTCTAAACTCTAAACCCTAAGCTCTAAACCCTAAGCCCTATAAGCCTATAATGGCCTATAACTCTAAACCCTAAACCCCAGCCCTTCCGCCCCTGATCTGATGTGTTTCGCAGGCCTTCGGCCTCATCGCAGATCTTCCGAAGCCGCAGCCTGGTGAGGCCGGCGCGTCGGCAGAGCAGAATAAAGTTGGAGGTTTAGATAGTGTAGGGTTTAGGGGTTTAGGGTTTTAGGGGTTTAGGGGTTTAGGGTTCAGGGTTTCAGGGCTTCTTGTCAGTCCGTAGCTTGGGCTGGTCTGCATTTTCGAGGTCTGGGTCTTAGAAGGATCCGGCTGCAGATTTGGGCATCCTTCCATCGGTTTCGCCAACACCGGGTGATTTGGTCAGGTTCGCTTTTTTTTTTTAGAGATTACAATGCAAGAGCGGTAACTGGAAGGATAGTTGCCTCTTTGCAACAGCCTCCAAGAAGGGCTCCAGCTTGGAAGCAAACTGGGGTAGAGGGTTTACGGTTCAGGGTTAGGATTTAGGGTTTAGGGTTTGGGGTTTAGGTACAGGAGCTTGAGTTTGGGGACAAAGGGGCCACGGTCTTCAGGGCCGGGCCCTTTTGCAGCTAAACCTTCGGATCCAAGTACTCAGTGTCATGTAAGTCCCGCTGTCCCTTTCGCTTGGAAGTTACCATAAGTTACCTAACAACGCTTCACTTCGTTTCTGCTACATGTTGTCTCTGTCGAAACTGATCCTGGGCTTTGTCCGCAAGGAACCCACGGCGACGTGGGGAGCCCGGCATGTCAGCCTTAAAGGCAGCAACGAGAAGCATCATGTTCATCACCAGGGTTCGTCATCACCATCATCATGATCATCCCCGTCGTCGCTCTCATCACCGTCCAACTATTCAAGAGTAGATACATGCAGGGAGACAGTATGTCAACCTTGTTAACAAAATAAGTTGCAGGAGCAGCCGGGGCACAACTTCAGAAGCCATGATGACAAGCGCAGGAAACTAACACGTGCATCACCACAAGGTCGACAAAATTGGCAGGTGACAGTACAGTATGTCCGGATGTCCTTTGGGCCCATGTATTCCGATATACCAGGCATGTAGACTTTCGTGCGTCGTCTGACACTTAGACGGAATTCCTTCAGAGCGCAATTTTTGGATCGGATTCCGCAGCAGACCTCAATGTCCGATCTCCAAACCTGATGTTTTAGCTTCGAGTGCTTTCGGATGTCCTGCTCCGATTTCCCGGATCTCCTGTTGGTGACCCCAGAGCTGCTCCGTTGCTACGGTTGATGATATAAATCTTGCATTACCCATAATAAGGAATATACCATAATTCCCATAGTTTAGTGTCCTTACGGTAATGCAGGATTCATATCATCAACAATCGTTCTCTAAATTAGGGTCCCCTTTGGGGTCCTGTTTGCAAGGGTGCCGTACTATATTGGGGACTTACTTAGATGGCCAGTGGGAGAACTTTAAACTTTTTGGCTTATTTATTAGGTCTATCCTAAAAAGTTTGAACTTTTTTGGGCCTGGTTCTTGAAGAAGAGAGCTTAAAGAGAACCAACAGTATGGTCGCATGTCTAGGAGCGGTCGGGGAGAGTCCCCAGTCTCACAGTCGAGTGACACTCCAGCCTTTGCAGTTTCCGTAGAATAATATAGGGGGCCTTGATACTTACCACTATCTTTCCTTAGGAGCCCTTCTTGTTGTAAATATAGTACTAAGGGGGCCCCCCAAACCCTTTTCTAACTATTAAGGCCCCTATATCATCCTCACTTCTCCTAAACCCTATGAACCCTATAAACCCTCAACCCTAAACCCCAAAAGGGTTAAGCTTTTTTCTTGCGGCTTGCCGACCTGGCCCTTCAAGCACTTTGCTTCCGAGGCTCCGCGCTGTGTGTGACAGCGTCCAGCACTGCTTCTCCCAGTCGTCCTCGTCCCTGCTATGGACCCTAAGGCGAGCACTGCTATACTATTGAAGCTTAAAATACTTACCGAGACTCTTTTTTTTTTTTTTTTTTTTNNGGGGGGGGGGTCCTTAGTATAATTATCGCATAATGGGCACCAAAACGCTGTTCTACTTACTACGCGCCTATATTAGCGTCGTTGTTGCAAAATACACTCTGCAGTCCAAGAGCTCACGGTGTTATCCTTGGTGGTGTCCACAAAATCTGCTACCTGCGCCGTTCTCTGCAGTGCATCGTCTTGAGATGTCTTGAGAGCCAAAGGCTATCAACCCTGGCCTTGCTGCGAGATGCTTGTCACTGTCCATTTTCCCGCCTGCCACGCAGCTATCAGCCGCAGGAGCAGCGAGCCACTCCGGCTAGCAGCAGAGGCCATAGCCGAGCACTTCAAGGACCTCACCGCTTTGCTGCGCAGCGGTGAGGAGTTCAATGCTGGAGACGTGCAGGGACATTCCGGGACGCGGTAGGAGCAGCAAAGAAAGAAGTGTCGGAGAGGTGAGGGGGATGGTGATGGTGGCTAACATATGTGATCCAATCCAAATACAGGCGGCAGTCCCGCCTTTGTACAGAGTCATTCGCAAAGGACGAGGTATTCTCAAAAACGAGCGTAGAACACCACCTCAAATGGAAGTCCGATGCAACCATTTTGCAACGCAGCCACCTTGTAGGTCAGGTGCTGAGATGTCCATCAATGAAAATTTGTCAAATAAAGCGAACAAATATACGAAACCCCGGGCCAAGCAGCTCCACTTTGACAGGAAGAGAAGCCAGCAAGCATGTTGCGCTTGCTCGACTGGATCGAAGTTGTCATGGGCGGAGCCTGGGAGGTGCCCAACCCGCAGGAAGGAAGGGGAGAAACCGTCGAGCTTCCTGAACTCTTGGGTTTTGGCTACTTCCGCAACGCAAAGTCCTTCTAGTGGGCTCCTTGGTGGTAGCACGATATCTACATCATTCCTACTATGTTACCATGTCAGCTGCAGATATCTGCTGCTACTCTTGCTGCAATAGCTGGTCCTGATATTGCAAGCACCGCTGTCATCATTGATACCATGAGCATTGCTCACTGTGAAGTTGCGGACTTTAGAAGTGAAGGTTTAAGGGTTGAGGGATGTTGAGGGCTTTGCAGCTTCAAAGATCCAGAATTCACATGTGTCATCAGGTACCGACGGAAGTTTCTTTTCCGCATTCAGGCCAGGGCTAGACACATGTGTCTGATGATTTTCGTATCAGTGCAGATAAGTACGGACAGACATAAGGAAAAGGAGAGTACACAAGGCGGCCATTAACCTAATGGTAGAGGGCATGCCTGAAATGAAACAACGGAGCTTTTCACAACATGCAACGGACGATACAAGATGTATGGCACGCTGTGTTCAGGTTGGTGATGCTGGTCATGCGACGCAGGGCTGGATAACGATGGCTAGGCAGATGATGACGGCAATGATTCTGACGGTGGCGATGATGATGCCAACAACGAAGTGGAGAGTGACGATGTTGTCAGCGCGGACTAATTATAGCTTTTCTGCCACCTTGCAGGTAGCAGCAGACGAGAGCGATTTGCTGACACGGGCACTGCTGGACACAGATTGTTGTGCCGCGGGGCCCAGTGACACGCGTTGGTTGAGGGGACTTTGTTTCGGATTTCCAGCACGGCTTCATGGGGCATGTAGGGCCCGGATGTAGTGCAAAGATAATAACTAACGATCATGATGAACTAAAGTAGCTGAGTTTCCTGAGTCAATGGTCCTTTCCGATTGATTCTGCCTTTCACGGTGTGTTTTAATCTGGAGGATGTAGGAGAGAGGTCAGGCAGGGCTTCGGTGCCCTTGAATGACGAAAGTTCCACGCTCAAGGGCTTAGTCTGTGGTTGATACTGGTGCATCCCCTTGCTGAAGCCGCACGAGGTGAGGAGGAAATTTCATAGCCGCAAGCAATTGCTGGCAGAATTGCAATGCTAGCCCCAGGTAAAACTGCAGCATGCAGCAGCACAAGCCAACAGTGCCACCATCTTCATGCTGCTGAAACTGGGGGTCGCAACGACAAGCACAGCAATAGGGAGAACATCAGCAGCCCAGCCAGCTGTATCCGCAACAGGCACGACGTTCAAAAACACAACACTTAACTGACTCGGTGCGACCGAAGAAGCAACCTCATAAAGAACCATTGCTACAGCCATGCAACATACATACTGCTGGAAATCTATCCGAAGAGGAATTAAAAGGGTGGGATTTCGTAGTAGTATGGTAGCAATATATAATCACTAGCCCAACTAGCAGTCAGTCTTCATAGAAATCTCATCGGTCAAAGCATCCGGAATGCTAGGCCACTAGGCTCCAAGTTTTCGCACTTCGAAGGGTTTCGAAGCTCGAAGTGCATGAGAGTTTGCTCTAGCCCTAAGGGTCCAAAGGACCAGGTATACTTAGGTTTCGGATAGTAGTTATGTAGGTTACTATTTGGGAGAGTATATAAATTCTTAGGTACTTGGACCCTTCGGGTAGGCTCCTTAGACTTTTGGTCTATGGAAGGATTGGAGTGCCTGTAAGGATTGCACCAAGAGCCTGAAGCGGAGGAACCCCTGTTTTTTCTCGGGGTGAGGTGAGGTTGAAGTCGGTTCTCTTGATGCTTTCAGACAGCCTCGACTCTGGCTTTCCGATTTTTTTGCAGCTTTGCAGGGTGCGGCCCACAACTAAATCGCAAGACGTCTCAGGATGTTGAGGAGATGGTGGACACGTCCGTGCGTCTGCGCAGCTTCACAGACAAGGCGGATCCTTTCCGCTTCATTGGCTTCTGCTGGCCCCAGGTTTGGAGTTTCGAGTCCTGGTGATCCCAAACCTGGACCCTGAACCCTAGTTGGCACCGAAGCCCTAAAGCCCTAAACAAACCTGGACCCTGACCCCAGTTGGACCCGAAACCCTAAAGCCCCTCAAGCCATAAACAAAAAAAGCACGAAACCCTAAAATCCATCGCCCCTGGCAGATGGAGCAGAAGGTGCAGGAATGGAAGGCGGAGGAGGCTGAGCTCAAACTCTTGGAGTTCGAGGCGCCAGCGGAGGGAGACGAAGCCTTGCAAGGCCTTTTAGGGTTTAGGGTTTAGGGGTTTTGGGTTTAGGGGTTTGGGGTTTAGGTTTTAGCTGAAGCCCCGACTTTTGGCATGTTCTTTTTATTTAATGATGTAGGCTTTATAGATAGAAAGTTGGCATGTTGTTTATAAGATGTAGGCTCCCTTGTCACGGATCCTAGGGCTTAAGGCTTAAGGGTTTATAAGAGGTTTCTTGTTTGGTGAGGCTCCTAGACAGATCCAGGTGTCCCCTCGCTCTCCCGTTCTGACCAGGCGCGGTGTGCGAAGAAGGCCCTCGCCTATGAGGAGCATGGAACCACCCACCGAAACTCTAGATCCCTGCAGCCCTGTGTCCTAAAATTCGAGACCTTACCTGTATGAACCGAATCCCCTAAACCCTAAACCCTAACCCTTAAACCCTTCCCTTTTTGAAGTTCTCAAGGACCGAATCTCCCGGCTGGAAGCCGAGATCGCCCGCCGTGCCGGTAGTAACTCGAAGCTTGGCTGATGCAGCATCCAAGGTGCTTTCTTAAAATAGAAAGCCTGTTTTGCAGCACGGGGCTAGCTGTCGCCCCAGGACCGTTGCTAAAGTGAAATTAGTGGCAAGCGCATAGTCTAACAAGCCACAAAACAACCGACACAGTAGGCCCCTCATTTTCTCTTGTGAAGAGGGGTGTGTTATTCGTGTTTGTTTTTGTTGGTTCTCTTGCCCATTGCACTGGTCATGTCGTTGGTTTCTCGCGCGAAGCTTCTTGCACGCAAGGTGTCTCGTGTGAATGGCGAGAGAGCTCGTAGCATACGTTGTCAAGATGTTGATCACGAGAGATCTTAGTGACATTGGGGGGGTATGTTTTGCAGAAGCATATGTCTAAGCAATTTGTCAGCTGTTGCCAAATCGCAGTTTTTCAGCTAATGTTATTCATTACCTAGTGTCAAACATGTCAACCGTATTTGTCGCAGATGCGTTTGTGCTTCTGTGACAAATCATTTGAATTTAGTATCGAATATGTTTGACTGCTTGATGGCTGTTAGCCAAAACTGAAGCGTGCGCGGGTGTTCTATTGACTATCGGAACATAAATCCTCACATGGCGTCTAGTTGCATGTCAGTTGCCATGTCGCGAATATTGGCAGAACATTTCTTTGAAAGTCAGGTGACATTGGATGATATGATCATGTGCTTCTCTTTGCAGTCGTAGGGATGATACCTTGAATACGTGAGCAGCTAAGTGCCAACAAAAAATTGGCCAACATCGGCTAATCTGTATTTCCGTGAAAGTAGAAAGAATAGCCAACTAGGCGGACTCTCTAAAGGACAGAACCATAACATGGTATATACACAAACTCAACAGTACGTGTTCGAGCATGGTTGAAACATTGGTGAACTCGGTCGGACATAGTCAAGCAACCCGCCTCTGAACCCACGCAAAACACGGACCGGAGGTGTCCCTCAGTGTTCGGCTGGGTCATGCTGCGATTTACACTTGTGAAGAACTGTCTTAGGTTCAGTATGCTTTCCTGGCTCTGGCCTCTAGCGAGATGGGAAATGGGCCCTCTGCAAAAGCAAACTACTTGGCAACAATCCCCGTAAAACGCCCTAAGCACAGCTTGCAGCCAAGGCACGTGCCCAAAGCCAAGTCTCAGTGCCTTGCCGAAACAGAGTCGGCCGTTGGTTGATTATGGCGATGGCACTTATTTTCTTGCAACATAGGACGAGAACATGAGAAGGAGCTTGGTCGAGATGCCGGTTCTGAGGCACTTTACAACCCGTCATAGTGATCTCGAATGTTCGCCTTCGCAACGGCAATCGACGCTTCCTCCAGCGCTGTAAATGCAGACCAGTCAATGGCAGTGAAAGTTCTCACCGCACACACTTTAGAGGTGTCGGAACTGTTGTGAATTTCACCCCCGTCCCAGAAAATCTTGCCACTAAAATCCGCAATCAATTCCGAACAAGTGAAGGTTTTCACGTTATAGACTCCTCTCGACACACTTTTCGTGACCTTTTACCTTCCCAAACAGCTCTACTTGAGATACTTACGTCCTTCGTGCCGTGCCTGCTTCGCCGACTAGACAAAAGCCTTCGCGCCGAATAGGTTCAAGCCATTCTCCGCGCAAGCTCACTCGGTCCTGGAAGAACTGAAAGATTTGACCTCCTGAGTTCTGCAGCACATTGCAATACCACAGACCCCCCCGGGCACCTCTTGAGATTGTTGTCCTTCACAGGCTGACACATTGCAAGTCCTAGGGTCCGGCCTGCAGAAAGCCAAGCCCAGCCTGAGGCCGACTCGGGTCTCCGAGGAGCCGCAGAAATCTGCAGAGGAAGCCATCACAACTGTTGTGCAGCCACGGGTTTAGGGCTTCGAGACGGCGGTCTTTTTTCAGATGCTCCTTTCAGCGCAGACACGTAAACTCTTTTAACCCGCCAAGCGCCAAAATCTGGACCCGGACCCCCAACGGTTCGAAGCCATGAAGGAGGAAGCTGCACCAGCTCCGAAGAAGCAGCCTCCGCTGGAAGCCCCGAAGTTGGATGACAGTGCCTGTGGCGAGAATAGCAGCGAGACATGTATTCAGACACGGTGCAGGATTCAGACGGCACGAGGGCGAGTAATGTTGGTGGGAAAGATTGCGGTATTTATGACCCAGCATAGTCACAGTAGCAGTGCAGAAACTAATACTGACAACGTACCGTCGATACTTGTAGTGGCAACGAGTCATTTACACCCAACCCTTGCAAGAGCAACTACCATTTGTAGAGATGGCAGCAGCACCACCGGTATGAACATCCAGAACACATGCCACTTGTGTTGACAAAGATCTATCTTTAGTTCTGTTCTGGCTGTGAGAAACATCATAAGACCAGTAACACATCACATGTTAAGCTTCGAAGGCATGAGCCGCAATTCGGGGATAGATGGTTGATGTATCGACGGCTGGCTGGATGGATGGCTGGCTGGCGGGCGGCATACATACATTCGTGATGCTGCATGAACAAGACCCTCCAGGTGTCCTCGCCGAAGCAAAGCTCGTGGTCGAAAGCATCCGGGCCGACAGGCAACTCTGGATCCATTATTGTGGTTTTACTGCTGGGTTTGCGGAGTAAGCTATTCATAGGTCTTTATGTTGTTAAGTATAGTAGTTGCCTGAACAATGAGAGTATGAGTAGGTGTTTGGAGGCAAAGAGCATAGGAAACCTCTACATGGGTTGGCTTTTTTATGCCTCATCAGTTGGAAAGCTTTGCTCCTAGCTTTCTTGACAGGTGCTTTACAGGACTCTGATAAGGCTTTGTAAAGTTCAAGGTAGTTCCTGTTCGGGTGACGTTTTTGCAGGACATCGTCGAAGAATTGTTGTGTGTTGCATTTGCCTTTGGAGCCTGCACGTTTGGGTTTTGACAGGTTTTACTCCCAGAAAATGCAGCACTGAGGCGTTGAGGATGTCTGTTTGGTAGGCACCAAAGGTTTTGGCCGTGCAGGAGGCCTTCGCAAAAGCAACACAAGAAGCCTGAACCCCGCAGACAGCAGTCGTACTAAAGCTTTCGTTTGCACTGTCAGCCGAGCGTTTCTCCACACCGCCCCCACACACACATCTTTAGCCAGTGCTTGGTTTCAACGTTCTGCCAGGCTGGTGAACTGCGAATGGGAAGAGGGCATCACAGATGAGGTGAAAGCCGGACTGCTCGGCATGCGCAGGCAAAGAGCAGGGAGAGGCTCAGAGATGTCGAGGTGGTTTAATTAGGGTTGATTATGGATAGCTTGACCTCAGGCGTTGCAGTTTTGATATGGTGAGCATGACAGTAGCGTTGCTGGCCAGTCCGACGGTAGTGGTCCTGTTGGAGCAAGTTTGTTGGCAGTTAAGCTGTTCGTTCTGCGCCGGACTTTTGTGTGCTGAGAGGTCGCTGTGCGCCGCTGTGGAGAGGCGTCCTGACATGTTGCCACCTGTCCCTCCTGAAAATTTTGAACCAAGGTTTCACTCTTCACAGTCTGCTGTAGGGCAGCCATACGATTGCCATTGCGGCCCATAGACACAACCCCGTCGCACATCTACCTGTGTGGCTCCTACATTTGAGTCGCTATGGGGTTCTATCCTGGGGTGGCTTTGTTTGTGTATGCCATTGGATTGGTATCGGATTGGTCCCCGGGTTGGCCCCGAACTGGTCCCGGAAATGCACCGACGATTTGCGATTTGGGTTTCAGAGGGTTGACGTTTTTATGGCGCTATCGGAATCGCAGGCCTTCCTTCGGACAACCTTTCCAGGAGCCCAGGGGAAGGCTTACCTTTCTGGCAAGGCACTTCAGGATTCTACTGTGTTTCTTGATGTGGGACTCAATCGACCTCGCCAAAACTCATGATGAACGGGGACTCATGGTCATTCATTGCTGCAGGGCTGTAGACAGGTGCAGACTCGTCAGGCTGGCGATGGACCTTTATGCAGATGAGTGTCATTGCCTCTGGGAGCTCATCCAGAACGCCGACGACAACAAGTGCGCAAGTGCTCGCTCGGAATACTGTGGGTTTAGGGTTTAGGGTATATGTGGACTGCCGAGCCCAGTTTGGCAGTCCTCTATCCCTTCATTAAAGTGAAAAGGGTCGAGTGTTGCATGTTGGGGGGGGGGTCATAAAGCATCATAAAGCAGGAGCCTGAGGCCCGAGCCTCTTCATCCCGAACATCTCCAGCAATCTCCTCCGTGCCCCCCCCAAGTCTTTTCAAGACCATGAGATCAAAAACCATATGTTATGATCGTATAGCCGCGTTCAATCAGAATACCGGACTGAAGAAGCGACTTTTTTTCGTTGTAGAAGTCAAGTCAAGAACTCCAACTGCCCCAGCAAGAAGCCCTGTGACATTTCACTGCTTGGATGCGTTTATGGCTGAGATTTTGACAAGAAGCCCTGTGTATGGAGGTATGCAAGCGAGGTTGAGGTTCCGGAGCTCTGTCTGTCCATGGAGGTGGACCCATCTCTTGGTGCATACGTCAGCTCCTTACATGACTTCGCAGTTTTCAACTGTTTTCAACTGTGCTTCAGCCGGAAAACACAAAGTCCCGACGTTCGAGGTAAGCATCGCCAAAACCCTCGAAAATCACCCCAGAACAGGGACTCATGTGGGCGAGGATGTTCTGAAGATGAATTCGGCAAAGGCTTGTGGGCTGTCTCGTGTTCACGTCTTCGAGGATCCCCTCAACCAAATCCCCAAATCATAATCCGGCTCCTGAAAAGTCTAACACCCCTCCGTGCATCTAGGGGATGTCCATAAAATAGAGAAGTGTGAGGAATGTCCGTGATTTAACAGGCTGTATTGGTTCTCAGGGAACTCCTTCAGTCCTAAACCGTTAAAGGAACCTGACCAAACCGATGTACCCTAAACCACCCTGGCCGTCAACATTCCCAACCTATAAGCCCAGAAACCCTAAACCCGAAAAAAAATCATTAAACATCCCTAAACCCTAAAACAAGCACTAAATATCCCTAAACCCTAAAGCCTAAAGCCTAATTCCTAAACCCTTACCCCCGACCCCCGACCTGCCAACCCTAAACCCCTGAGATCTCAAAGCGAGGTTTGGACCTCCAACAACGAGATTGGCTTGTCTCGAGAGGTGCCAGCAGCAGTGTGGTTTCGGGAATGCGGGTTCGGAACCCTAGGGCTGAGAAACGAGAATCTTGAGAAATTTGAGGGTTTCGGAGCAGAGGATTTCGGAAATTTCTTGTAGTTGAGGATCGCAGAGTCTGGACTTTTGAGTGTAGGGTTTCCGAGCTCTTGAGTTTAGTGCAAGAGCTTCTCAGATATATCTTGTGCTGAAGTTCAGCATGCTTGATCAGCTTCATCAGAAATATACTTGTGCAACCCGACATGGTACAACATCGAACCGGACCTGGACTCATACCCTGCCCTTTCTGAAACTCGCAGCTACCAGGACCCAAGCCACTAAGACCTCAAGGCCAACCGCAAAGCCCTGGTAGAATCCCCGGCTGTAGGGTTCAGGGGTTTAGAGTTGAGGGTTGAGGGTGTCCGCACTGTCTTGGAAGCCCCTTTCACACCGTCATCGCTTTGATGCCAAGACATTTGATGTATCACAGAATGACCCGAAGCCCCGGTATTTTCAGTGTTGAGGGCTTGCGGGTGTGAACAGGACCCGGCTCCTGAATCAGAACAGTAGAGCTTGAAGCTCCATCACCACCATTGCAGCAAACGTTCCCAAGCCTGGACCCACGCAGACTCGACCCCTGAATCCACAAACCTCGCGATCGCTACTCGTGCAAGCGCCCAATGAACCCGAAATGTGTCTGTGACCCCGCAAAACCCCCGTCGCAGGATGTCCGAGCCATCTGCAACGTCAACGCAAGCATGAAGGGTGCCGGGCAGACAGGTCACAAGGCTCTCTTGGCAGCGCAGCTTCGGGCCATGTTGTCTAGAGGCGCAGGGCATAGAAGCAGAAAGGAGTACCCCAAATCCAAAAGCTTGAAATAAATCTCAACCCTAGGTAAAACTGCCCTATTCGAAGATAGCCTTAGAACTTTAGATTCTGATGGCCCTGCGATGGAAGATTTGCCGTACGTTGCAGTAGACTCACTAGTTGTCATCCATCGATGCGCGGAGTCTCTACCACAAGCCACGACACGAAGAAGCAGCGGAAGAGTCGCATGAATAGAGCTACGCAGCACAATGCTAATGAATCTTAACGGCGAAAGCAGGCGCAGTGGTTTGAGTCAGCACTCTTAGCTGATATATCCGGCCAGTGTTGTAATTAGACGTTTGTATGTTCCCAATCAGCGAACCCTAGAAGCCACGTTACCGTTACTCCATGGTATAGGCTGCCGTCCAAGACCCCCAGGTCTGTGCTCCTTAAAAACTGTAGTAGGAGAGTGACTCATTGCGTGCAGCTGGGCTTTTACGGACGGAAAGGAGAATACTAAGCCCAGTTGATGTGACAGGGAATTGGCTGGAAGAGTGTCTTCCGCATCAGCGACTGCCCGCACGTGCTGCTGGATTCTTAGGACGTGTTCCTGTACCTTCCGCTTCGTCTGCAGGAAGTTGTCATATATATATATAGAGATATATCCATCTATATATATATATA